ACCAGTCTGTCAACTACTTGAAGCCATTCTTTTTTTCTTTCAATCTTTTATTCCTCTGGTCCATGGCAGGGTCTGTTGAAGGTATAAATGCATATTTCTAAGTTGAAAGTATCAACCTTTTTATAATTCCAAATCCATTGATATTTCCATGTCATCATATCAATGGAAGCCTGTACCATATGACACAGATTTATTAAAATTCATGGACTTCACAGATGCTATCAGGGCAACACAAATACTTATTTAGTACATATTTATTTTACATAAGACTTTTCAGCTATAAATCTTATAGCAGAGGTGTTTCAAGTTATTTTCAACAAACACTAACTTTTTTCCTATTTTCAGGTCACATCATCATCAAATTTTTGGCACCCTGATATGTAGCCATTTCTTCCTCTGTGAAGCCTCAGAAGGATTAATTAAATAATAAATGTGAAAGCAATCTGTAAATTGCAAAGTGCAATGCAAATGTTAATTGCCAGATGTCGACTAATACCCCTAACTTCCTGATAATCCAATGAAAGGCTTTCTGTGAAACTATTACAATATTCTTGTTCAATAACTTACCCTCACAGAAGTCTTTCTCATTAAAAATGTAAATGTATTCAAGGTAATATCTTCCTTCATGTAATCATATTTTAAATTAGTAAGTTGTAGAAATAAAGTACCAAATTAATGGGCTTGAAAATATTTCCCTTCATTTTATTGAGTCTCTGGGTGTCTGCTACATTTGTTCAGGTAAAGTTTTACTTATCACGTGTTAATACCTGAGGAATGAAGGGTAAGAATATGTTCCAATATTTTTCAAAGACATGATAGAACAAAGACTGTAGGCATTTAAAGCCTCAGTCCAACACTTCTGCCTGCTTGTCCTCCTGATTTAGCAAAATGTATGGCATAGAGAAGATGTTTAATACCCATTTATTTGATGAATGAGTGAAAGGTTAAATAAATGACTGAGTAAAACATCTAATGCAGAGAGGCTACCAACAGGCAATAACTGAAAAAAAAGCATGTCAACCCAGAGACTATGATTGTAAAGCTTCAACCTCCACTGGCGGTGAGTTTGGGCAAATTACTAGATCTTTACATACATATGTTTCCTTGAAATTAAATCAGAGGAATAAAAATAGAATCATAGAACTGTCTATACTGTGATGGAAACTTATTCAGAATCCTTGGTAAGCACTTAGCCTCTAGGCCTTGGTTCCTTATCTGTAAAATAATTTCTATCTAGATGATATGGATATCTGCTCCATCTAGTTAAGGGTCTATAATTCTAAAATTAGCTGCAGTGAGAACACAGATTAAAAATGCTTTGAAAAAAGTTAAAAGTGTTGTACATATGTACCACATAAGTGAAAAAGGCCAATAAAGGAAAAATAACATCTAGTGAAAAGATTCTAAAATTATCCATCGTTCTTCTGAACTATTCATGCCTTTTAAGGATTCCCTTTCTTTGGAGCTGGCTATCATTTGCGTACCATTCAAAAGCATTCTTATAGAATATGCTGAAATATTGGTCCCCAACCTCAAAAACTCACTTTCTATATTTATAGCTGACAGATATATAGCAAAGAGCCCCATGTCACTAACAATATCTTAAGTTATCTTTTGGTTCATAGTTTTCCAAGCTTTATTAATGGCATAACACATTAATTCTTCTTTCGGGGTGACCTTTACAACACCATTAATGCTCACAGCTTTTATCCCACTACATTATTACTCATTACAGTTTCAGCTTTCAACATCTGCACTTGCTGAAAAGAGAAAAGTAAATTGTGGTGGCCTCAAATCCTTGGAAAATATGAGGGATGTATATGTGGTGAAGAGACTTTTCAGAGAAAAAAAATAAGAGAAAGTCAAATGATAAATGTCATTAAATACATTCTTGCCTTTCTAAAATATTTTGTCATACTTCATCCTTGGAATGCTGAAGTAAAAAATCATCATATGATAAAAATGCAAACACATTAGTTATTCCATTAGTTTAATATTCTAGTCTGAATGACATTACTAAAGTAGCTCATATACCAACATTGTGATATTTATGGGCCTTCTTGTCTATTAAGGAAATGAATCATTCTTGCCAAATAAAATATTTTTTCTTTCACATACTTAGGACATGAAAGCAGGTCTTATCTTGGTTCCATTTAGAATGTTGAGCTGAGTAACTGAGAGTTAGACCGCAATAGAGTGCTGGTGAATAATGATAAAAAACACACGTGTACTCCAAACCTTTTCAAACTTCTCAAAATGTAAGTTTTCATTCTCTTCTCACTGCTGTCCCAATACCCCAGGCTGACTTCCTCTTGACAAAAAAAATCTGGAATTCTACCCTGTGCAGATGGAAGCATTTTAAATACATTCCTGTAGCTTTTTTTCTGTCCATCCCACCATTTCTCCGTAACTGTACTTTTTTTCATTTCCTTCCATCTCAGAAAAAAAAAGGGGGGGCTTTTCTCCTTTCCAAAGTTAATCTTCTCTCATCTCTTCTCCTTGCTCAATCATCATCCATGTATCTTATATCTACATATTTCTCCAACTATTTTTTGAAAATATGTATTATATGATTTTTCTACTCTAAAACTTGTCTCTAGTCAGCCTTCTCAAGGTTACTTCTCAACATCAAGCTCAGAAAGAGATTGGTCGATATATTAACTGCACTTGCTTTCCTCATGTTCTTCAAATCTCTGTAATTGGAATTCTGCTAAGCCCTTTACTAAAATTTCTCTGTCCGATCTACCTATCCATGACCTCCAGCAAATCTTAATGCTTTTCTTCTTCATGTTCCTTAACTTTTCTGCAGAATGTGACACCATTAAATAACCCATCCTTTTTGAACTATGTTTTACCTTAGGCTAGCATAACACTGTCCTGTCTTCATTCTGATTCTAAAAGGCACTCGCTGACTTTTTGTTTCCCCCCTAAAAAAAATGTGATGTTTTTTTAAAATATGTCCAAAAATACTTTGATATTCCTCTCTTCAGACATGGAAGCTAATTCTCCTTCTCTTGAGTTGGGCTAGACTTTGCGATTATAACAAAAAGAAAAAAGCAGAACTGTGTGTGACATTGGAGGACAGGTCATAAAAGGCACTGGCTTCTTTTTGGTCTCCCTCATGATCACTCAACTCTGGGAAAAGTTAGCTGCCATGCTATGAGCGGCTCTAAGGGAAGACCCATGTGGCAAAGAACGGAGGTCTCCCGCCATATGAGTGAGTTATTTTGCAAAAGGGTCATCCATTCCCAGTAACGTCCCATAGTCCTGGCTACCATCTTGATTGCAACCATAAGAGAGACTATGTCAGAATGCCCCAGCTAAGCTGCTCCCGATTCCTGACACTTAGAAACCATGAGATAATAAATGTTGGTTGTTTTACCCTGCTGAGTTTTGGGTTAATTTGCTATGCAGCAATAGATAACTAATATAGTAGGTAACATTCATGATTCTTTATCCCACTTCTTTCCTTACCATACGCACTCTTTTTTGGTGAACTTATTTACTCTGATGTTTTCAGCAACCTCCATAAGGAATCATTTTCATGTCTAAGATTCTAGCACCCTTTTTGAATATCAGATTTACATCTACAATTTCCTCCTGAACATCGCTTCCTAAATGTCTCCTTGTGTTTTAAATTCAACTTTTATTAAATGTTTATATTTATATCTTTTCCCAAACCTGCTTCCACTCTGGTCTTCTGTTTCACAGTTGAGGCACTATCCTTTGTATTTGATAAATTCAAAATCCTAGACTCTTCTGCCTCCAACTTGAACCTCACCAGGTACATTCTATTGTGGATAAGTTCTGTCAATTCTTCTTTAATAATCTCTCTTCAATCTATTATCTCCTTGCTTGTCATTCCTATTTCTATTTCATGTAACTCACTCTTGTCCGCCACTAAACCAATAGTTTCCCTGATTCCACTCTTTCTGCTGCCAATACTCTTAAAGTTCTGATCAGATTGCTGTCTGGAGAAAAAGTAAAAATTTCTTAGGATACCATTCAATCAGATTCCACCTGCCCCTTTCAATTTTAGCTCTGGTCACTTTCTACTGCACACTCATTTTATACGCTAGACAAATATGATAGTTTACTTAGGGTTTTCTCTTACAGACTACAATGTCTAAGAATGTATCTCTGCTTCAAGTCTCCATTTGGATTACATTATCTCCAACTTGGCCTTCCTAGATCCTTCCAAAATAGTATGCAACACTCTCCTACTTTTGATTATAAGACTGTATCTGTACACTGAAATAGCACTTACTGTAGCGGACTTTTGCTATAAAATAGATGACTTTCCCCCCCAGCTAAACCTTGAGTTCCTGGACTAACCACCTCATAACTGTATGAAAATAATAAACATATCTATAAATGTGGGCCGAAGTAAGTATCTACAGCCTAATCTATGTGTTACGAAAATACAAATTATTGAATTTTTTTAAAAAATAGCTTAAAAGCATTTTCTAACATTTGCTTACGCTACTGAAATGACAATTATGGAAGAATGAAGCTACCCACTTTATAGAATCCTTCGGTGTGTTCTAGGAAATCTCAAGCAGTATGGAACTGGACAAACTTCACGTCCTAATGATTGACTGCTGGTTAGGCAGAATGTATTTATTATTATGTATACCTTGTACACATCACAAAAAATGGAAATAAATTTCAGTGATGGAAAAGGCAAGTCACCTAACAACCATATTCCGGAACCACCACTCTCTGTGATTCGTCATTTAGGCTTCTTTTTTTTATAAACTTTATAACATAAGTTACATCAACAAATGGCCAGGTCAGTTAGATTTTCAGGGGGACATTATAACTTGGACTTCAGTTATACATTTCATGTTCATGTTTATAATACACCTATGAGGTTCATCAAATTGGAAATCTCCTATGGAATGCCATGCACAGGGTATGTGTGATTTGCCATTAAAAGAATGATTTCATTCAATTGCCATACACAGAAAATTAGCAAGAACAAAAGAAAAAGAACTTACCTATTGTGCTAACTCTGGCGGAAGGACTCGCTAATGCTGCTGGGACAGAGGCTTTGAGGGGGCCTGCCCCACTGTTTATTCTCAGAGCTGGCATGTGGGGAGAGGTGGGTGATGTGGGTGATTTGCCATCAGAGGTCTTGGGTTTAGCTGATAGGTTCAGTGGCTGTGCCACTTCATCCTGCAATGATTATCAGAACATGAGCTGTGATAAGGAAAGGCTGATTAAAAACAGCTAGAAAAACATAGGCATATTGCCTATCATTTCTCATGAAATTACTCTACAAATCAGTGATCTTAGCATTCAATCTGAACATTACAGTGTTTAGTCAGTTGTCAACAATGTCATTTTCAACTACATATTATGAAAAACCTTTTGTATAAGATACAGTACACATGCACTCAACTATCCAGAAAGCACATAACTGATGGCACCTGTTAGAAATATTCTGAAAGAGCTATTTGTATTATTCATTTTTATTGAGAGAAAATGCACAGTTCATATAAAACGATGATGCAGATACATTTTATCAAACCTCTGAAGAATAATAGTTGAATTCCAAGCATCTTTTGTACCCTGGTGCTTAATTAGAATGCCTAGAATATCTGTGATGGAGAAGGTAAATGCTGTGTATCTCTGATCAGAACCGCTCTCCAAATTAAAAAACAACAAACAACTTGCTTTCTTAGAAAATAACTTTTCTTTCCTTAGGAGTCACAGAAACAGTTTAGATTTGATCTAGAAATGAAAATAAACTTAATTAACATTAGATTAATATGTACTATTTATTTATATGCAACACTGTTCCAAACTCTTTACATTTTTTATATCCTGATTTGTTTTCCAGATTTTCCTTACAGTGCACTACATGGTGATGCAAAGATTGCATATGGTCAGTTCAGCATGTATGATGATTTCCAGTTGTGCTTTGCTTGAATAGGTAAAGTTTACATAATTTACATTCTGTTTTATACCTATCTATATTAGCCCTTTTGTAATTTCATACATACTATTTATAGATACAACCATCATTCAAATTTTTAACACAATATATAAAAATCAGGTAATTATAACATTATATCACTTTTCTTTCATTGAAAATTGAAAAGGTCATTCCTTTTCTGTGCTCTAAAATTGCAATATTGTGACATGTTTATACTTTATTGTTTATATTATGTCCAATTCTACATAGACATAATTGTATAATAAAAATATAATTTCCACTTAGCTACTGTTTAATCTTCATAAGCTAAGCACATAAAATATATACCAGTAGTAGCAGGATAACTTATTGAAAGTAGTATAATTTAGAATCAAGTGATGTGATTTGGTCACGGAAATGTTAATTACTGTGTATGAAATTATATGTATATATTTACCAAAAACCATTGGAACAAATCACTTTACAAAAATGATAAAATGGTATAATATGATATCTGTTTCAGTTTTATATTTTTTAAAGTGGTTACTCTTAGTAGATGCCACAATTAACTGCACTTAGGAAGCCCATGAACAGGCTAGGGAAAATTACTCTTTAACATTTTTTTTTCAATTCTGTTTTCTGATTCAGGGAAAAGAACTGTTATTTGAAAATCCATGAGTTAATTCAAATGGCAATTTGGGATTATGTTAGATGCATAATAAAATAATGACCATTATACCAAATTTATATGGATTCATATAAATTGGAAGGAAGTTAAGTAAGATAATTCCATGACTGGTTCAATATATAATTTTGAAAAGTTTATTTTAGAGTTTTAAAAAGTACATAGCAAAATCATTCCTAGCTCTTTCAATGTGAACATTTTGTTGAGCTGGTCAGCCATAATCCTTTTATATGATGCTATGGTTGGCCAAAACTCTTTTTCCCTATACTTCAGTATGGATGACTAGTTCTCAAAAGGTGGTCCTTGGGCTAGTACCATCAGCACCACCTGGGAACTTGTTAGAAAGGCAAATTCTCTACTCTGGAAACTCTGGAGGTGGGTTCCAGCAACCTGTACTTTAACAAGCATTTCCAGGTGATTCTGCTGCACACTAATGTTCGAGAGACACTGCCTTATATAATATAAAGGAAGATTATGAAAAAATTACATTTTTTTAGGCTTCAAAATCTTTTAAGAAAACTTCCTCAATCTAAGGAGGTAACCTTAAAACTATGTAAATTATCTCAATCTTTAAAATGTACTATATGATACATAATAATAAATGAAAACATGCATATGCATAATAAACTAAATAGTACTGTGAGTCACTGAGCCCATAAGGATTAGAATACAGATTTTCTCCCTGTTATTCAGCCAAAATACCCTGTCAGATAGGAGCTTCATTGACTGTTTATTATGCAGGTGTAAATATTTTAGGCACTTTTCTCCCATCAAATGTTGTATCCGCTTACTACTTTTTGTATAAAACCACTGGCTTTTGTCATGACACCCTGAAAACTTCCTTTGACAGCATCACAATGCTTGCAAAGGTTTTGAGGGGATACTTGGAGAAATTAAAGGTGGCTGTTTTACTTGACTGTGCAGGAAGAGAGAGAGACGAAGAGCTAGATTCGCAGAGCTGCAACTGAGGTTTATGAGCACAGAGGAAATAGAGTGTGAGTGTGTGTCACAGGGGAATGGTGGTGTCCATGAAGATGATGCAGATGGGGTGCTGATGGGGTGAAATGTCACAGGCTCGGCTTTAAGCACTAAGAAGTATTACATGCGCATACTGAAAAATGACCATCCAAAGTAGTTAGCAGAGCAGGAGACCCACTGCAACTCTTAATGGTCTCCTCTATTCAAGGCAGTACACGTGTCTGAAAGCCACAAAGTGCAAAGCCCAAGGACGTAATAGAGCTTGACAGTTTCAAAGGTGATACAAATGTCATTCATAATTACCCTTTCATTCTATTTCCTTGTGTGACCAGTCTAATGGTATATTAATAAGACCCCACATGCTTGATCCTTATACTGGGAACTATGTAAATAATTTTGACCCATTATATATTATTCGACAATTTGATTCTTTTAATAGTTTACTGAGCTGGTGTACCAAATGCCTGTTAGTTATGAAGAATACAAAAATTACAGCAGTTTCCTATTTTCTATTAATCATTTTTTATTTGACTAGATGAAAATTTAAAAACCATAACTATAAAATGGAAGTGTATAATTTATGATATGCATTTTCACAATTATGAATATACACAATAAATGCCAAAGATAAGGTTTTGTCTACTTTGTTTCCTATTTGTAATATCTTATTTAGGAAAAATTTGATAGCTTAGCATGCTTAACCCATATTTTTACAAATCAAACATATCCTTAAAAATTATAAATAAATAACTTACATATAAAAGAATGTAAGTAATTTTCAAGGTCAAGAAAGCCCTGGAAAAGAGATCTCTATAAAGTTCACCATCTAGCAGTGAAGAAAACAATTCTTTTTTTATTACTTGTCTGATTGCTAAATGATGTTACCAGTTGAATCTTTTGAAAATAGCCTATTTCATATTTATTTCATTTATATACAAAGTGATAGTTAAGAATCTTATGTATCTGTTGAATAGCTGCAAACTTGTGTATTATATAAAGCAAGCATTTAAGCTAATGTAAATCTATAAGCTAAAGTAAGCAAGTTTTAACTAATAGAAGGCTGTTATTTATATTTATAGAATTATAAATAACCCAAATCATTTACTTAATCATCAATACTATAAAGTAATTAATAACCTGAGAGACAGAAGTAAGGCTCAGAATCTTCCAATGAACCCAGGGTTTTGGACTAATACAATACTTATCATTTACATAACAACTTTAAACTTAAATTTAAAAAGATGTTGATGAAATATAATTGCTGAAATTCAGGCCTAACCATATAATATTACCACATAATAGGCCATGTAAAGGTCAATACACATGCAATAAAATGAACTAATATGCACATTTGCTATTTTATACATTAGTTTAAAAGTGAAGAAACACATTCGTTATTTATTTTTATTTTTTTATGCTTCTATGTCCTGTACATTATATAGCGTTAAAAATTCCCTTCTTTATGCTAAAGAGTTGTTAATTTAGACTATTCTTTGAGAATACCAACAGTTTGTATACAATATGCCAGATATATAACAATTCATAAAGTAATATATGAGATTACGATTTTGTACCCAAACACTAGTTTTAGAAACATATTTGTTATAAGTTCACCTAATAAAGTATTTACTAATCTTAGTTGTCTAGGATAGAATGAAAAACAAGTACAATCGAAACAAATGTAATAGTTTAGGCATGCTCCACTTACTTATAGCTACTATAACTTGTCTGAAAGCAAACACTTCACTTAATATCAGCTGGCGATCACAGTACTAAAACTATTGTGGCATTGCTAATTAATTTGTATTCCAGGGATGGCCGAGTGGAGCGCTGGTTAAGAGCTGGCTTGGGACGCCAGAGGGCCCCAGTTCGGATCCCACATATGAAGGCCAGTGACACTGCCCTCTACAGCTAAGATGCTGAACAACAGCTCAACCTGGAGCTGGGCTGCTGTTAGTTGCCAGCGACAGCATAAACTGCAGCACCTGTGGCAGTGGGTTGCCATGGGCTACCGTGTGTAGCCAGCTGCCAGTAGGAGTGGCCAGCAGCCTCTGTGAGTGGCCTTCCAGAAGCCGGCGACTGATCTGCCTCGCCCGGGAAGAGTGCAATGATAGTGCCAACTTGGGCCAGTGAAGCAACGTCCTCCACAACTAGACTGAAGAACAAAAGGACAGCAACTTGTCTCTTCCCCTCCCCCCAACTCCCAGTGTTGTTCCCATCCTTCAATTCCCCAATAAAAATCTTTAAAAAATAATAATAATTTGTATGACAGCCAATGAAAATCACCCACACATATAAATAATAAATTAGATTAAGAAAATAATTTGACACAAATATTTAGCTTTAGATGCATTGAAGAAATCCCAGTTGTTACCATGAATGCTGGATTATTATTCTATGTAAACTTAGCAAACAAGGTAAAATATAAAGTTAAAATATATTTCATCTCTATTTACATCTTTATTTATTCTCACTATCTAATTATCTAGTTTATATCATGTAACAGTTGTCTCTAAATTCTACTTTCTTAAATATTTACCTAGTTATTGAAAATCAAGCATTTATTTGGTAGTTAACAAATTTATAGCATTCTAA